CCGTACCATAACATGTATGGTTCCAGGACAAAAGTTACCTGCAGTTTTTAAAAGAAGAAAAGGAAGCACAGAGGATGATCTGGTTGCTTCGTTTTCTAAAAGATTGCAACATAAAACAGTAAGACTTCAGGTATTCCCACTGATTTGGCAGCTTCTAGCCTTCCAGTCTAGACCATCTATTGTCTGTAAAATTCCAAAAGGCAAAGAAATGACAACTCTTTTGGAAACAACATCCACTAAACTTCCAATCCATACATCGTTAACATTGGACCATGTGTGGGCAGCTGAAAACAATCCTAATGTATGTGTCATTTCATTCCTTTAAAACAATTTTTTTTTGTAACCGCCTCTGTCTTTTCTATATTTTATAGTTTATTGTCGATCCGATGATGTGCGTGGACACAGAGGGCGTAGATTAGTGGGAAGATGAGATCAGAACTAAGAAAACTGCTTATCTGAATCGGCTAATCAGTGAAGGTTTCATGTTTACGAAAGAGATATGGCCTGGTGGCGATAAATAGTTGGCTCTACACATCTACAAACCTAAGAGGACTGGTGTTATCCGGCGTACTGTTTTACGTAAAAATAAAAACAACAATTGTAATTCGAAGGAGAAGCTATCAAAAATTAGAGGTCATACACCCTCTAACAAATATAGCTCCAACAAAAACTGGAGGAGTTCTTATCTGTGCCTGATAACAGCAATGTCGATTTGAAAACCCAATTTAAGCAGTTTGTATCAACCACGGGTAAAAATATTAAGGATCTTCAATCCCGGATTGAATGACTTGAACGTTGTCCAAAATCTCGTAAAGGCATCCGTGTGGGTAAATTTTCCTCACAGCGACATAGGTTTACTCGTAGGAAGAAGAATACATATCGAAAGACTCCCACGGTTTCGAATTCATTGTTTTCTCACTGTAAGGTTCCTTGAAAGTTGTTTCTGGAGAGCAGTCAGAAGATAACCGACGTGGTGATGATTTGTCCATCCAGATTGGGATAGATACGATCCAGGTTACAGTATTGTTTCGGATATTAACCTCCAAGCCGACGTGCCGCTAAGATCTTTTTCATTATTTTATGCAAACCCTTCATCACATTAATTATATACTTAATATTAGACACCTTACAGGAATCTTCACATAACAATCAACAATCTTATAGCCCTGGAGGAAGAAGAATACCGAGTGAAATTTTTGGGCAGGTTTACAGTTGTTTTATTTTTATATTCATCTCAGTGGTTAATTATATGAAACTACTTCGAGCACTTATTCTTGACATAAAGTTAATCTTTGACTGCAGGAAGAGAACGGAAGTGGCCTGATGCTCGGTGAAACGGATGGTGAAAACATTATGTTGACAACGGAGGCTGGTGAAATATTTGTTCACATAATAGGTCCTAACGTATCCCATGCCAATACTGTATTGGAACCTTTGGTTATCGGCAACATTATTGGCGAAGTGAATTCTTTTGCTTCCGGTGATGTGGATGTTAAAGCCGTGGACACCACTAACACGGTTAGTTTTCGATATACGTTACTGTGGACAAAGAGTCTCTAGTCATTATTATTGTTGAGAAAAAGACTGTAGTACAAAGTTTGTTTTTTTTTTGCAGAATTTATGTGAAAACGCAAAAGATGGTGCAACCGTAGCTGATGAGGTTTTAACTTTTATTTGTTAATTTCATTAGTAATTACACATTGTGGGATCTAGTAATTTAAATTTCAATGTATTTGTTATTAATTTTCTTTAACTCATACATGTTATTTGTGATGGCACAGGTTACATGTGAGGAGAATGTGGACGTTGATGTCGTACCTGAGCAGTTTAACCAACTTTCTTCCAATACGGCCACATCCTCACATGTTGAAGTTGTATGTGAAGAGTCGGTGGTTGAGACAATGGTGGCCAAACCTGTATGTGATACTGGAGAAGCACCGGTAAAAAAAAAAGTAATTGAAAAACACGTAAAAACACAAAAATAATTTCTCGTGACAATTATCTTGAGAAATCACATTGACTTAGTTAGACCTTCTTTCTTTGACGGCACATGTTACATGTGATGAGAAGGTTGAATCTGAGGTTCAAAAAGATGGTGTCCCAATTGACGAACTTCCAAAACCTTTGTGTGTAAGCGTGGGAGAGATAGCGAAAAAGAATGATAAGTACATACCATCTGCAGATAATGATAAGTACCTTTCTGATTGTTCGTCTAATGTTTTGTTCCTTAATTAATTTGTTTGCCTCTTCATTGTGGACGATAGTTAGTGGATGAAATGTAGTGGTCATGTTCGTCTGATGTTTTGTTCGTTAATTAATTTTCCAATTATGTAAACCATTGTAAGAAAATAATTTAATCGCTCACGCCCGTACACGTTGTCGTGGACGACATGTAGTGGACATGAAATGAGTCTGTAGATTGCACAACAGTTATATGAACAAAATAGGAATACATCTCATAATTGTTTTATGAACTCATCATAAGAATTTGAATGGCATGGCTGTGTTTCGAGTTTGTGTTCGAAGTAGTTGAAGATAAAACGCATATCGGGTTGGTTAAGTATTTATCTATGTATAAACAGACAAAGATTAGAGAATCTTATTGACAATAAGAAAAATGTAAGTAAAGGTTGAGTTGGAAGTGAACATATTCGCATGACGCACATCAATGTAATAAGATAACTCTCGTACACGTTTTCGTGGACGACATGCAGTGGACATTAAATCTGTCTGTAACTTGCACAGCCGTTAGCTGAACAAAAAACATTTTACAATACCAAAAATACTAATTTAAAGATAAGGTCAAGGTTCGGACAATGTTTAATGTTACCTGATCTAAAAGTGAATACTAACATCTAGGAGAAGAAACCTCCTTGAACTCTTATTGACATCTTGCGAAAGAAATGGCTAGAATTTATTTTCATATGGGATTAGTGCATCGAGTACGGTTGTGACCCACCTCTTTGCAACGAGAGAATCTGTTCGTCGAAACCTTGGTTGTATTCTCCTTCTAGAGATATAGAAAACGAAAGTTATGTTAGACATAAAAATTATCTTTTATGTGAAGCAAAAGGACTGAAAAGTTGGAGACTATTTACTTTCATATCACCGGTTGATGGGAACCTTGTTTTGCGACGTCTTCCTAGAGGTATTTTTGTCTGCGGTGGGAACACACACATTTGGGAGATGTGTTCAGGGATTTGAACATCACTTGCCGCTGCGTGCGGTTGAATTGTCCCGTCGTATGTAGCAATCCATGCTTGTCTCTTGTAGCAATCTGGTAGAAGACTTGCATATGACAAATCCATAAAGTCA